AGCATGAGCGTCATTCGAACCTGACATGGTCCATGTCACGAATGTGTTAAGCGACACCACTTGCCACTACGCCACCACCGCTGAGTCAATGATGAAGCAGTTAACACATTCCGGACCGCCCTTGTGCGAGTCTGCATAATTTCGTTACTTTTCAAACGATAATCAGCAATTTCATCTGTTTCTTTCACTTTTCTATGAGATATTTGTATTCTGTGCCTAAAACGTGTTCTGATAACTTCGGAGCATGAATAAGATGCCAAATAGACCGACCGTATGAAACGGCGCAGAGAGAAAAAAGTATGACACACCATGTGTGTCACGCGGTCGGAACGTGTTAGGCAAACCAATAATCAAGAAATGATCATTCAAAAAAATAAATAATATGTCCATTCAGCGTCCTCCGTTCTCACTGAGACACGATGCACCCGTTGGTTGGCTGGTCGTCGATCTTCGGCACTCCATGTTGGCTACCGACGAGGAGCACCTTCAAATCTTGCCGTCGCCCCATTACAAAAGATTTGCCGTCAACGACATCGGCCAAGTGAGTATCGTACCTTTCGTTACCTTTTTCGTAGAACTAATTGGGAAACTAGGGGCTGGTTTGAGGCAGAAATGAAAAATTGGGAACTCTCAAATCTAAAAAGGGCGCAGTTCGGCGACGGAGGGATTGGGGGTGGCATTTTGCACTTTTGCTACTTCCCATCGACCTATCTAGACAGCCTCTTCTCGAGTTGACAGGTTTTACCATGATGGCTTGACGAGCTTGCTCCAGCTTCACAAGAGTTCACAGGTTTCGCCAGAGTGAGACTTGTAAACCGGAACTAGGGAAGCAATGATAGTACAAAATGCCCCCCCCCGTCGCCGAACTGCCCTCTAAAAAGTTCTCGTTTCAGATCATGACCGCCGGCGAATTGCCCTCTGTCGGCACACGCTTTCCACTGTATGTTATGGCCAAGCACGAGAAGTTTCAGCGGATCATTGCCATTCATGTTGAGCTTGCTGATGAATCGTGATGGGAAAGCCAGCTATTGAGGAAATCGGCGCGAAAGTAAAGCGGTTGTTGCTCAGGCGGTAATCCTTTGATGGTGATCGGTGCCGAGAACAACAGCATGGTACCATTCCCTGTGTTGGCAGCCACATTCGTTTGGTAATGGTCCCGATAGAATTTGAACGGGCTGGAAACGGTAGGGGATCGAAACAAAATGATCG